AACAATTTTGGATTGATTGGCAGCCATTTCATGAAATCTACCATCGTGTGTTGTTTGATTCTTCAACTTCTCTTTCGCTGCCTTAGTACCAATTGGTCATGTTGATGTATTAGATGGTTGTTCGTGCACCGCAGTATTCTGATTGGATTGAAATTCATCAGATTCTCCAGTTGGTGGATTCGAACATGGATAAGCATAATCAACGCGTTCAATGGGAACATCAAATGGCTAATCAGGTCAATTCGTTGGGTACTCAGTTTGATACATTTGCCACTGCGCAGAACTCATTAATTCAACAATTTGGTGATTTTCGTGTGGACATTGAGCATCGCGTAGATACGATTGAGCATCGCGTAGATGACATATACCATCACTACTTCCCTCCTCCACCACCACCACCAGATAATGACTGTTGATGTGTTTCACATTATGTATTTGTATTGTTTTGTATTTTGTTATTTTAACAACCTTTTGTTGGGTGAATTTGTTAAAGAGTACGAGTTTAATTAAAACCTATGCCCTTATTATGACTTCATATTATACTTTTCATTTTAATGCCTACTTGACAAAGACATGATTGTGTACATTCTGAAACTGTTACAAAAATGTCATTATTCTGTTATGATTTTCTGGTATAAATTATGTTATAGTTGTCAATGGCCTTCACTTGAAAGATCATTTTAAAGAAGACGAGGTGAATTAAAAAAAAACCACATGAACTACAAGCAAAAGATCTCCCTATGCAAAAAACATGGCAACAATTACGCATTGAACTTGAAATATGGCAAAAATCCATGGCAAGAATTCATAAAACCAATAAAACTAACCAATACAAGGTAGATGCAATATTTTTAAATAATAAAACCAATAGATGAAACCCAGTAATACAGAACCTTTCAAGGCAATCTATTAGTTGTTCGAAATAAAATCTGTCGTTGAAGATCTTCGTAGTATGCCCTTTGCATAGGATTTAAAATTGTCATGTCCATTGACATTATTTTATGATCTTCATTTCGTTGTTCTCTTTCATTCATCATAGATAGGAGTTTTAGTTGTTCCTCCCTATCTTCGGCCCTTCTTCGACGCTCTACATCCTTCTGCTCACGGTGTATCACCTTTTGTTCATCTCGCTCAATAGTTCTAGCAGAGATACTTGATAACACTTCAACAATTTTGGATTGATTGGCAGCCATTTCATGAAATCTACTATCGTGCGTTGTTTGATTCTTCAACTTCTCTTTTGCTACCTTAGTACCAATTGGTCGTGTTAATGTATTAGATAGTTGTTCGTACATCGCATTATTTTGGTTGGATTGAAATACCTCATATTCAGTTGGTGGATTCAAACATGGATCAACATGTTGCGTGCTTCTTTTGGGTTGTGATCGACATTCATCCCATTTACAACTTCGGCGCAAAATATCCCAACATGTATCAAATGTGAAGTGTTTTTTCTGTATTGCATGATACATCCACATCGCTTCAGCGACCTAAAAACAAAAATTACAAACATTTCTATAACAAGTATACATTTACAAAAGAAAATTGATATTTAATAATACAAATAAATTTTACCATATCTGCCTCAGTTGAATTTGTTCAAGAAAACCACAGAATTTATTAATTACCTTTTGCATGCCAGACAAACGGTGAGACAAAGAAATACGGTTTCGATTTGATTCACCGCTCAATTGTGAATTAAAATAAACAAGTACTTGTTCCCAAAATATAGCCATACTCTGACTATTACCAGTAATGGGATCTTGAGAGACTACTAACCAAGATCTACATAAAGTTTCATCTTCTATAATTGTGAATGCTTTACCACGAGAAACACGAGAAGTTTCTGAAATAAAATGATTATCACTATTCTGCTTGTTCTGCTCTCGTGAAGATTGTGACATAAAATTAATATCAGTGTTCTGCTCCAACATTTGTGATTCCTCAAACATTTCAAAATCTTCCATAGTTTGGAAAAAATACACTACACTTACTGAAAAATATTAGAATGATATACACTCAAACTGAGAATCAGATAATTGAATCAGATAATAGAAATAAAAATTTCAAGGGAAAAAAATTTCTAATGACACAAAACAAACAAAATTCACAACATATAATGTAATGGTATTCTAAAAAAAAAAAATTCTGTCAACTTGATATACAAAACAGATATATTTTATAGAGCACATCATCAACGGTAAATTTTCAAAATACTCTGTCCATACTCTGTCCATCCAACGGTAAATTATTATTGTAACGGCTAGTTCTAAAATATGTAAATGAGAGGTAATAATTTCAATAATATTTTGAAGGGAATTTAATTTTATATCACCCTCCAAATTATTCATAATCCACAAAATAAGCTATCTCAAAATAAACCAGTTCAAACCTGTTAAAACCAACCAGTTGAAACCTGTTGAAACTAGTTCAAAACTGTTGCCGGATTGATTAACCCGGTTGACCGGTTGGTCAACCGGCCGGTTGACCGGTTGATCCCCAAGGGTCACGCAGCACATCCGTTCAGGGCATAGGAGTTCAAACCAACCACTCCACAGTTCAAACCAACCATGCGCAGATTTGATAAACCGATCGACCGGTTGGTCAACCGGCCGGGCAACCGGCTGGTTGACTGGTTGGTCCCTCCAACGGTCCCGTACAGTGTTTTGGTGAAATCTTCTCCCTGTTCTCACTCTGATGAAAAATTTGGTGAATTCTCGATTTGATATCGATTTGGTGCAACCGTTGGAGCACCAAACGGTAACTTTTTCATCAAAATTTAAATTCGGTGTCAAGTCTAGTGAACCGTTAGAGATGGTCTTACCACAATCACTAAGATTTTGAGATTGTTGGAGGCAACAAAATGGCGGTGTACAACAGCCCATTGAGCGGGCCTCTAAACAAGACAATACAACGTTTTGGGGGTTTCACTGGCAGACTTGTCGTCATGTTTCATTGTTAGTCTCCGGTTAGTAAAAATTATGTTGGTCTTAGATTGATAGCAATTAAGTAATAATTTTAAATGAATAATTTAAACAAAAAAATCAGACGATTGTATAAAGGTTTTAAATGTCTTGAAAATATAAAGACTTCTTTGGAATAATTAACAATCAAAAGAAAGAGTACTCAAATAAACAAAGATAACTCCAAATAAAATTGTCCAAGTTTACAAGAATTACAAGTCATAAATTACATAGAACAAAATTACTCTTAACTTGATAATCTACTCCTAAAATAAAGACTAAGTTATTGTTGGATTGTTGATCTCCCTTCTCTCTGCAAACTTTTGGCCTTTATAGTTCTTCTTTCTCCTTTTTCCTTGATTCATGATCCCATTTTCCTTGGAAATTGCAGGCCACTAACCTCCAACTACTGATGCAACTGCTCCATCACTTTCAAGCCGTCAAACTTTAACAATTCTTCATATTTCCCGTGGAACTAACTTTGTTGCATACTGCCACATGCTCCTTATCATTTTGAACACTAAATTGACAGACCTTTTCTTCATAAACCAATTTTCACACAAATCAGTCCACTAAGCCAACAATTATTTAATAACTTCTTGATGACTACTTTTAACAATCCATGCACTTAAACAATTCTTTCCTGCCTTGTGTCTCTTTGATCAAATGAAAGACTTTTACTTTTGACTTTAGTGCCATGTGTCATCATTCAATCAATCCACCTGTCGATATGAAATTTACGAAAATGGGTGCAAACAACTCCATTCATGATTCTTTCCACTCGTCAATGTGAATATTCATATTATTAAAATATCAAAAGATTTGAAACATTAATAATACGATGTGAATCTTCTCATTCCTGTAATAATTTTTACATGGACGGACTTTTTATTGTCTATAGGATTGTTCAAACTTGTTATTGTAAATCTCCAAATTGTTTAGAATTCTATATGTCAAAAAATTTAGAGAGAGAATCGAATAAAGGATAACAATATTCGTGATGTGAATATTTACATTGAAATTTTAATTAGTTTCAACATTAAATTTGTGATGTGAATATTTACATTGAAGCTTGATAGAATTCAAGAGTAGCAGACATAGTCAACATGAACTTTAGCGAGAACAAACAAGAGGTCGATGTGAATGTTTACAACGGGATGTGGTTTTGGTTGTCGGCAATGGGATGATGTGAAATCGAAGACGGAATAATGCAAAGTTGGATGTAGATGATGGACGGCTATTTTCGACGCTTTTGCTGCAACAACGAATTCGAATTCAAATTCAAATATCAGTGAATTTTTGGAAATATTCGAGGCAATTTTTCTTATTGTGAGACCTGTAAAAGTCTTTAATTCCACAATATGTGCCTCACACTCACAAGGGTATTTTTGTAACTATACCATTTATGGAACCCATTGAAATATAAGAAATGATTTGGATAAATTAAAACATAAGTAATAGAGGAGGGATTTTTTAAAAAACATCCCCCCCCCTCTCTTCCCCCTTTTTTAATATCAAATTATATTTATATTTAAAAAAATAAATGATAAATATAATTGTTAGTATAAAACTAAATATAATATTTTCTTCTTCATACATTGGAGATCATATGGCAATATTCAGCGATCAAAGCTTGAGCTCCTTAAATTGCATTCATTTAATTGAATATGAAATTGAGGTTCCATTCTTCAAACAGAAATTGGGAACCAAAGTGAGCTACCCATTTTACGCTTACCTCAAAAAAATATATATATATATATATAAACAAAAAAACAAAACCATTCAAAAAATGCATTGACCATTTTTCAAGTGACCCATGCATGCTTGCAGTGGTATAGTTCAGAATTACATTACAACTAGCAACTTATGATCAAACACATAAATGAGAAAACCTAAATGATGTTAATTTAAAAACCTACTAAGAAGAAATAAAATCAACTTAAATATGGGAACACTGAAGGGACGATCTTCGAATTTTCCAACTCCTTTCTTGAACCCTCTCCTACACCTACTAAGAAGAAATAAAATCAACTTAAATATGGGAACACTGAAGGGACTCATTTCATATTTTACATCAATGATCATGGAAACGATTCAATTTCATGGCACAATTAGTGCAGGTATGGACTAAACCGATACACATTTAACACTAATGTTCTTACCAAGGGCATAATTATACAAAGATCTCAAAGGAATGTTCATTTACTTCAACATTCTGTTCTAAAAAATAACCAGAACAAAGCTGGCAAAATAGAAAAATCAACAACATTATCATAAAAAAAATGTTTACACCTCAACCAATAATATTTTGCATGATTTTTTCCTTCATTTTGTTTTCCATCAAACAAAAAGAACCTAAATAATGTTGAAAACTATCTACGACTTTGTTTTTCTTTGGACTCAATCTCCCTTACACTGTCTACTATGTCTTCAATCTTCTTTGAGAGACTCTGATTGTGCTCTTCAATGTGCTCAAATACCATCTCCAAATGCCTTTTATATGTTGCCGCTCGCTTTTTCTCAATGGCCAGCTGTTGGGACAGCTCCCGGATTTTATCATGTTCGTTCTGCAAAATGAGATCCACAAAAAGGTAAGACGCATTATACAAAAATAGGGCAACAATAAGATTTATCAGCTTTCTTACAGTTGAAGAGCAAGTCTAGACTAAACAAAGAATTCATAATAAAGATTTTTTTCCCTCGCCATTTGACATGGGATTATTTTACATTTGGGATTTCAGGAAACCATATCACTTCATTTATTATAAACATATTGGGCCATCACTAAATGATCTCCTTAGTTTTCCAGTAATTTGGGATGATGACTCCACTTATATGAATTAAAATTTAAAGGATGGATTGATGCCTCCAAAAGAAGATGCTACGGAATCAAATGGAGTGATACCCAACCCATGGGGACTCCAAAGTACACCCACCATGATTTATACATCATTAGCAACATTTGTATTAACAAATTGGTAGATGGTGTTCCTTGTAAGTTATTATGGTGAGGTGAAGAAGGAACTTGGTCAAGTAACTCACTTCACCGATGGGCAAACACTATTATGAGCCCTACATCTAAAAGAACAAACCCTAGAAAAACCCAAGCTAGAATACTAGGTCAAGCAAGTCACTTCACTGATGGGGAAACTTAATTTATGATTTTGTGCTAATAAATTATGAACATCCTAGGTGGCATTTGATAGTGTTTACAATTTATTTTTAACATTAAAATGTTTATGTTTATTTTAGCTAAAATCAAAAGAAAAAAATAATAAATGTCATATACACACATATAAACCAAATCAAACCAAACCAAACCAAGCCTTAAATCCCATCAAATGGGGTTAGCTGCATGAATCATTTTTCTCCGCTCGACTCTATCCAAGGCCAATTTGTTAGTCAAATTAAAGAGGTTCATATCTCTATTTACTACACTAGTCCACGTTAATCTATGTTTACCCCTTCCCCTAATACTACTATCTACCGTCACTGTATCACATCTCTTCACTACTGCTTTTGTTGGTCTCCGTTAAATATGACCAAACCATCTCAATTTATTCTCTTTCAACTTATTCTCTATCGGTACTACTCCTACCTATTCTCGAATATACTCATTCCTAACTCTGTCTTTTCTAGTCTTGCCAAACATCCATCTTAGCATCCTTATCTGAGCAACACTTATCTTATGTACATGCTGTTTCTTAATTGCCTAACATTTCGTCCCATATAACATTGTTGGTCTAATAACCCTTCTATAGAACTTCCCTTTTAGTCTAATGGGTATTCGTTTATTGCACAGTACTCCAAACGCACTCCTCCACTTAAGTCAGTCCGCCTTAATTCTATGGACCACATCTGCTCCAATCTCCCTAGTCATTGTGATAATCGATCCTAAATAACGAAAATGGTCACTACTAGGTAGTTCTTGATTCTTAATCTTCAATTCCCCTCTACTTCCATTGTGACTATTACTAAAATTACACTCTATATACTCTATCTTAGTTTTGTTTATCTTAAATTTTTAGATTTAAGTGCTTTTCTCCGGTGTTTTAAAAAGCGCGCCTAGGCGCTAAGCGAGACAAGGCGCAGGGTTGGCGCTCGAAGTAGACGAAGTGAGGCGTATTGCGAGAAGCGCACGTAAGGCGTTGAGGCGCGTGCCTTTCGCCTAGGCTGAAAGCTCACGCTTCATGCGCTTCAGCTAGGGCTGACTTGTTTTGTGTTTGTCTAATAGCCACATGAGATTAAAACTCTTATACAATACAAATCTGTTGGTGAGCTTCTTCGAATCGATTGATCTGAGCTTCGACATGGACTGATCTGAGTTTCTTTAGGTTCGTCTCTGCTTCTGCTTCTTCTCTTCTCTTCTGCTTCGTCTTCTCTTCTCCTCTCTTCTCTTCTCTTCTTTCGTCGTCTTCTCTCTCGTTTCAGTCTAGCTCACGATTGCGATCTCTATCGCCAATCGCGATCTCTCTCGCCTTCTCTCTCGCGATCGCGATCTCTCGCTCGCTTCTGTCTCTTGATTCATATATATATAATACATTATATGATACCTGTTATATAATATATAATATACTTATATATAATATATAATATATTTGATTCATATATATATATATATAATATTATATAATACCTATAATATCTATTATATAATATATAATATACTTATATATAATATATAATATATTTGATTCATATATATATATAATATAATATAATATACTTATATAATATATAAAATATAATATATACTTGTTCATAGTAATAAAAAAAAAAAACACATGTATGTAAAATAAAATAAAAAAAATTAATTAAAACACATTATGTAAAAAATATAATAAATAAATAAAATAATATATACATTAAAAAAATTAATTATTTTTTTTCTTCTCTTCTCTTCTTATTAAAAAAATTAACAATATACATATTAAATACTTTCTATGTTGAAAATTGTGTTATATTAATATTTTGCTTAACTTTTATAACTTGCGCCTCGCTTTGGTGAGGTGCGCGCCTCGCCTCGCCTTGCGCCTCGGCGCTTAGGCTCCAGGTGACCTTGGCGCCTCGATGCGCCTAGAGCTTTTTAAAACACTGCTTTTCTCTAAATCTCTAACTTAGTGTTAATTCATTTTCTAGTCTCATCCACTAATGCGATATCATCTACAAAAAGTATACAACATGGCACATCATCCTGAATATTGCGCGTTAACTCCTCCATAACTAAAGCGAAAAGATAAGGACTTAAGGTTGATCCTTGATGTAATCCTGTAGTAATTGAAAATTCACTCGTCTCTTCAGCATGCGATCTAATTGTGATCAGCACATCTTCATACATATCTCTAATCCTTAGGTGCACGAAGCGGGAGCGGGGAATCGTAGTCGTTCCAAGAATCGTTGATAGGGAGCGTTTGTATATATATTAAATAATATAATATATATAAAATATTGTAAGATTATATATTTTTTCCTCTAATAATAATGAAAATATATGTTATAAATTAAAAAAAAATTATATATATGAAAAATCATATGTTAAAATATTATAATTATATACTTTTATTAGATTTTTTTCATTTATTATAAAATATTTATATTATTTTTATTTTATTTTATATAATATCTAATTAATTAAACACAACATAAAAATTTAAAAATAAATAACAAATAAACATTATTTTAAACATAAATAAATATTCATTTTTAACATTCATTTTTTGAGCTAGCCAACACAAGATAATAAATTAGTTAGGTGGAATTTATATATATTTATGCAATCACAACTAGCAATGCAGATTTCATTAATTGTAAAAAAATAAGGGTTAAATCAAAAGTCATTTTGCATAAATATGGCATTAAGACACAACTAGAATTAAATGAAAAGATGTTAATTTATAATATAAAATCTATACTTGTATAAATGAAAAATAAGAAATTAAAGTATTAAAAGACTTTTCAGTCTCGAACGGAAAGGAAGGGAGAGAGAGAGAGGGAGAGAGAGAGAGAGAGAGACGAAGAAGAAGAAGACGACGCCTAATGAAAAGAAGAAGAAGACGCCTGCGAAGCACAAAGCTTGAGAGATGAAGAATAAGAAGATGAAGATCAAAGCTTGAGAAGCAAATACATGGAAGAAGACAACGTGATCTCCACTTTCATAGCCCTAATCGCAAGTCCATATCAAGTTTTTCTTTTCCTTGTGATTCTCTCTCTCTCTCTCCCCTTCTTTTTCTTTGTTGTTGCCATGAAACACAAACCCTTAGCTTGAGCGTTCCCATCTAGTTAGATCTGCGATTCTATCTCAATAGGGAGGTAATTCTAACACGATTCTTGCTACGAATCGTTGAATTGCGATTCTAGATGAGAATCGTCTCCCATTCCCACGATTCTTGCTACTAAGCTCTAATCACATCAATGTAACCTTTTGTCACCATTTTCTTCTCTAACACCCACCAGATTATATTCCGAGGCACTCTATCATATACACACATATGTTTTTAAAAAAAGAAAAACCAAAGATTAAAAAAAAAAACATATTTGGTGAGTTGTAAGAGGATGTGGATAGACGATGGGGATTGTTTGATGGTGGTTGTCGGTGGATGGTGGGGTCGTTGGAGATGTGGGAGGGGGGGGTTTTTGTTTTTTTTGGGGGGGGGGGGGTGTGGAAAAGGGAGGAGAGAATGAACACTTAATTTCAAAAGAAGAGAAACATAATTTTTTCTTTAGTTTCTCAAATTTTGTAAATTTTGAAAAGGTGTACACATTTTTTGGAAAAGAAAATAGTTGTCAAACGTGCTTTTGTTTCCAATTTACAAATTTTTTGAAAACATAAAAATAATATAGTAAACACAAACATTACCTAACATACATACCTTAGTATTTAAAAAAGAATGTTCCACCCACATTTTTAAATAATCACATATGATAATTTTTTCGTCTTTTCTTCTTTTTTTTTCTTTTTTTTTTTTCTCTTCCTTCCGTGAGGTAAATAGATGCAAGTTTTTACACATGAAATTTAGACACTTTTCCCCTTACGAAATGTTAAGGATGAAAGAGAAAGAATAGAAGAAAGAAAAAAAAGAAATAGAAATATATACTTATTAAAAGTACATGTCAGATGGAAGGAAGAAGTTATGGCCATACGTGGCTGTATGAGAGAGAGAGAGAGAGAGAGAGAGAGAGAGAGAGAGAGAGAGGTGGTTGTTTAGAGGATAAGAAAGATAGAGAGAATTAGATTAGGCAACTATTGTTATAGAAGGGATAGTTAATTAGGTTTAATAGCACTATTTAATATAAGAGAAAGAGAGAGGGAGAGACAAAGACAGAGAGTGGGTTTAGAAATTTCACTAAAAATCCCTTATATGTTATCCTAACACGTGGAGACTTCAGTGATAGAGGCCTTTGCTTCACAAATATCCTATAGATGTACGAAATCTAAGCCAAATCACTGAAAAATGATTAGAATGTAGAAGCAAAATAAATAAATAAATTCCCACTATAAATTGAAGACAAGGAACAAAAATCGGCCACCTATACCAAATTTTCTGCCCAACATACATTTTAGGTATTATTAAATTTGTCCACTCATTACCCACACTAGATCAATTCTATCACTAGGAGGCAAGGACTGGGAGGGAGAGAGATAGACAAGGAAGGATTTCTATACATCAGTAAAAATTCCACTTGCTCGATTGGCAAACTCTGATAGATAGAGGTGATGGTACACATCTGAGCCCCAAGCCTAAACATGATCCGGATCTACTAGCAAACATTAATGCCAAACAAAAAACCATTATAATAATTTATTTTATAAAAAAATAAAGAGAGAAAAAAAACCCAGCTGGACAATGCCATAACAACCAACCCATGTAAAAGGCTTATGCAACTATTGAGGTAGCTCCACCAAAAAAATAATTACATGTGAAGTCAATATTCTGAAATGTAAAAAATGGTCAAAGATGTTAGTCATGGTTTCAGTGTTTACTATCCATGTGTCGACTTATGTTCCAAAAAATACAAGCACAATTGACTGATATAAAATGAATTACTATGCAGTTATCCCATCAACAAGAAAACCAAATTTTATTGTTAGTTGCACTTTCCTGAGCACTAAAGCCCTACTTTAGCCCTTACCACCAAAAAGATATCGCCTAACCTTCCAAAATTTTAATTTTTCAGATTTGAATGGTGTTTGCCATGTGGGGGTCAGCAAGATGAGACAAATGCCTCATTGGTAACTCAGGATACCAT